CCCCCCCCCCCCCCCCCCCCCGAGCTGGGGAGGGGGTGACAGGAAGCGTCCTGTGTCTTTCTTTGACTTTGTCATAGGATAAGCTGTGTTAGCACTTCCTCAGGAAATGAGATTGATTTTTACAATAGCCAATAACATTTGCACTTTATTAATGCCTGTATATAAATATGGAATAGCTATGTTTTATATATATCTATATATGTCTATATCTATCTATACAGCCATACTCTACTCTAGAAAGAGGTGAGGAAAAAGATCAAATATGCCCAAGAAATGGGTTGGATGGGTGAGCTTGGCACTGAGCACAGAAGGAAGGGCTCTGGGGCAGCCTCAGCACTTGGCAGTCACTCGTGTGCTGGGCCTCTGAGCACACAGGGGTTGGCGGGGGTGGGGGGGGGGGGGGGGGGTTTTTTTGTTTTTTGGTTTGTGCAGAACTGCAAGGCTGTCACTATTAAGGGGGTGCGGTCTTTGCCTTCAGAGAGAAACTCCAGGTCTCAGAGCCTGCTGTGGCCAAGTTGCACTTGCTTTTGCAAAGTAATAATTCCCTGTACTGGGTCCTGTTCTGGCCATGGAGCCGATTGGAGTCGCACTGTTTGGGGACCAGACCCTGGGGTCCCCGTGTGCCATCATCTCTCCTGGACTTGTCACCGGAGCTTCACGACCCACCTCTGGTTTGTGAACCTCCTTCCTCAGCTAGTTCAGAAACTTTGCTCCATTTCTAATTGCTTAAATGTTTTAAGCCCCATGTTTTACCTTCACAGGCTACAGAAAAATCAGGACACACTTCCCCACCCGTGAAATTGCCACACATTCTATTAATGAGAAATTGTTATTTTTTAAAAAATTCCCCCCCTATACCTATGTTACTGTTCCCTGTTTCCTAAAAAGGAACAGGTCTCCCTTCCAGGTTCTTTATGTTTAGTTTTTTATCATCACTCTTGGTTTCAGTCTCCAGCTTTCTATGCAACACTACTAGGTTCTATGCTCTGGGCTTCAGGGGACTCGAGCACATTTTGGCCAAGGGGGAAAGTATTTGAGCAGCACAGCACTGCCACATCAGGAGTCTCCTCAGGCACTCTGAACGTGTGTTTTGCTTGGCCAGCACGGTGTTTAACAAAATCGAGGCACTTTTAAAATACCTGGAGATTTTGCAAAAAAAAAAAAAAATTTGGATCCTTAAGTAAGACTAGAGAGCAAATGGTTTCCAGTTCTCTCTCTGGTCCACATCATTCACAGACGCAGGTGTGGACACTCTTAGAAAGCTGCTCACTTCTGCCATGAACGTTTGTGTTTTCCACCCACCCCGACCCCAGTCTGGGAATTAAACCTGCTTCCAACCAAGGGCCCCTGTGAGAAATGTGTGTCCACGCACTCCTTCTCTGGCTATAGAGTATGATTTTGATTCCCTTCCTGGGGTTAAGATTTGAAGCTGGCCTTCTTTTGGACTAACGGGGACCTCCTCTGGGTGGTCCCTGTTAACCCAAATCTATTTTGCTTGTATTTTAAGAGCTTCCCCCTCTGCTTTCAGAGGGTGCTCTTTACTCCAAGAAACTGTCGTCATGGTTACTGGTCTCAGTCACACCTGCCTTCCCAACCTTTGCAGAATTTGAATGTGGGACACAGGAGTCCCATGTACAGTTAGGAAATCTGTGTCCACATGGACAAGAACAAAGAATGTGCTTTACTACTCCATAGGAAACTCGTTAGTCCACAAACAAGTGTTAATGCTGCAAATAACAATTAAAAAAAAAAATGGTTTTGAAGCTTATTTTCAGCCAAATAGGAATATTGGAGAGGGACTGGCAGTGACCAGCTCTACCTGGGTTTTGGAAGGTCTCATCTTGTTGGGGTTTTAGCAGATATGCTGAAGTTTGGGATTAGGTGGAACTTTTAGGAACCCTGCTCGGTGGGGTGGGCTGAGAGAGTTAAGGTAGTTTGACCCGCAATGCCACGGAAGTGCCCAGAAATCCCCTGCACTTTAGGGCTGGTGAGGCCTTCCCAATAGCTGTTGCTCATTGACCTCTAGTGGTGAATTTCTAGAATACTAGTCCATTATGGGATCTTCCAAGAGTCAAAAGAGCTTTATCACTTCTGGGTGGTCATCAGCATAAACTGGAATGTAGTGTCAGATGATACTGTGGCTTGTTTTGTGTTTGTTTCCCTTATTCAAGAAAAAGACCAAGGAATATCATTCTGTAGTTCCTAAAAATACTGACTTTTTTCACTACTCTACATAAAGGGAAAGTTTTATTCTTTTATGGAACACTTCACCAGTACTCATTTATTAAAATAGGAATGTGAATGCTATATACTCTTTTTATATCAACTGTGTCAAGCACTTATTTTCGTTCTATGCATTGTTTGTCTTTTATATAAATAAAAAAATGTTTATTCGATTGAATAAAACAAAAATACTCAGGTCAGCTTCCTGCCTCCTGTTCCTATTCATAGGGGTCCACGAGCCTCATCTGGTTATTTTGCAGTTTGTGCAGAAAAGGCCACAAGACAAATCCTCTCCAGCTTTTCCATATTACTCATTGTCTTCTTCAACTGACAGTGTCAGGTCCCTGTTTTTAAAAAAGCAGTCACTTCAGTACTGGGAGATGGGGCAGATGCTGGTGGCGGCTTGCCCCCTTATCCCTGGCCCGGCACGGTGTCCCTCTACATCCCCGACCACCATCTCCCCTGTCCCCGGGTCCCGAGACCAGGCCGCATCCACACGCGGCTTCTCGCGGGGTGCGCAGCCGGCTCCGCGCATGCCCACTTCTCCCTCCCCGCTCCTCTCGGTTAACAGGCTGCCGCTCTCTCCCCCCCCTCCCCCCACCCCGCCATGTGTCACGCTTCCTCCCTCTTCCTTTCTACCCAGCCGCCCCATCCCACTTGGAGCTTTTTCATTGAGGTATAACTGACATACGAAATTGTATGTTTCAGGTATACAACATAATGATGCAATATTTGTATGTACTGTGAAATGATCACGGTAAGTCTGGTTAACATCCGTCATGATACAGAGTTGCAGGATTTTTTTTTTCTTGTGATGAGAACGTTTAAGATCGACTTTCTTAGCAACTTTCAAATATGCAGCACAGTATTATTAACCATCGTCACCGTGCTGTCACACATTACATCCCCAAGACTTATTTATGTTATAAACTGTAAGTTTGTACCTTCTGACCCCCTTCACCCATTTCATCCACTCCCCACCCCCTGCCTCTGGCCACCACCAGCCTGTTCTCTGAATCTCGTTTTCTTTTTTTTTTGGTTTTTTCCAATTCCACATATAAGTGAGATCATATGGTATTAGCCTTTTTCTGACTTATTTCACTAAGCGTGATGCCCTCAAGTTCTGTCCATGTTGTCACAAATGGCAAGATTTTATGTTTTTATGGCTGAAAAACATTCCATTGTATACACACGCCACTTTTTTTTTATCCATTCATCCCTCAATGGACACTTAAGTTGCATGGTTATCTCGGCTTTCGTAAATAATGCTGCAGTGAACATGGGGCGCAGGTATGTTTCCAAGTTAACGTCTTCACTTTCTTCAGATAAATACCGAGAGGTGGAATTGCTGGATTGTGTGGTAGCTCTATCTTTAACTTCTTGAGGACTGTCCACACTGCTCGTCTCCATAGTGGCTGCACCAGTATGTGCACTCCCACCAGCAGTGCACCCGCCCCACAGCTGCAACAACCAGAAATGTCACCAAACTTTGCCACATATCCTCTGGGGGACAAAAATCGTCACTCTCAGCTGAGAATCACTTAGCTGGATGACGGGGTCCTGTACTACTGCGGGCATTAGTTGTAGTGCTGTCTTAACTAGTAGCTTGGCAGTTTTAGAGGTTACTAATTTTAGCACTTTCCTGCTCCTCCATTTACCACCTGTGTGACCCGGGCAAATTACTTACGCTCTCCATGCCTCAGTTTAAGTATATGTACAGTGGGATTTTACAGGCTTCATCCCATACCAGTGACCACTGCGGTAAGGAATACTGGCAAGGCTTTTGGTGTTGCGTCTGGAACTTGGAAAGCCTTCAGTGCATACTGGCCAGTATTCGGTTGGTTTAGTGTGCCAGGGCTGCTTTCCAAAGAGGCCGATACTGAGATACATCCTAGAGGGCATTAACAACACAGAGAAGTGGACACACGCTGCAGGCCTGGAGCACAGGGAAGCTCCTGTCCTGGGTGAGTAGTGGTCATCTGGGGAGGACGCCCATTCACTGAGCACCTGCCGAGACTAGGTCCATGAGGTAGGTACTGTGCCCATTTTACAGATGAGACATCACACTCGGAGGACTCCAGTAAGAAGCCTAGGGTCTCACAGAGGTAGGTCTGCTTGCAAAGCCAAGTTGTCCTGGACCTCAAATTTGAAATAATAATTTGGAATAATGCTTGGTTCTTTTCTTGTATTGTCTCCTGAGGGACCTGGCCTGCCCAGCAGGATGAGAGGGCTGCACCACCATGAAACATCCCCGTAGCACCATCACTGTTCTCATCCACCCCCACCCCCCGGGGGTCTGTCTGCACAGTGGGAACAAGGAAGGTGTGTTCTTATCTCTATTGCTCCACTTGCTTCCACTCACATGAGAAATGCTGTCTAAATTCTTGCCGGGAGCACAACTGGAGGACGAGTGAATAGTGTTGCCTAATGTGTGGAGTGTGCCCACTCCTTCAGTTTCAGATTGTGCCAACCTTTAAAAACATTATTTTAGTGGGTCTGTTTTTATTTTAACATGTACTAGAAAAAATAAACACATTTACCCTGGGCTTTCACAAATATTATTGCTTGAAATATAGCTGGGTTTAAAAAC